TCTCTTACTGTGCCTCATTTATAAATTAAACTTTATCATAAGTATGTATGTATAAGAAAAATGGTATATACAGGGCTCAGTTCTATCTGAGGTTTCAGGCATCTCCTGAGGATAAACGGGGAATATTGTAGGAATAGCATTGGTATCGGTACCACTGGACTGGTTCGTATGAGTTCACACACAGTGAAATCAAGCGCATTGTAGACACCAAAGCCCCAGGCAAACTGGAGACAGCCCACTAAACCGACTGCTGGAGTCAGGCGTCTGCTCCCTCCTGTGCTCTGCCCTGTGCCCACCCGACTGGCATTGCTCTTGTCTCATTCCAGCTCATGAAGGCTCTGCTTTGTCCTCGCCATCACTTCCCCTTTTTCAACACAAGGCCATGTTTGCTAGTATCTTAGCATGACTGTGAATACACCACCCTTCCTTCTGCCAGGGCTCAAGCAACGGGCCACACATCGCCAACTTCCTACGATATCGAAGACTTGAGATTCATTTAAAAATTGACTACAGGGGGAGAGAGGGATGAATAGATGGAGCACAGAGGATTTTTAGGGAAACTATTCTGTGTGATACTGTAACGGGGGAAACACGTAGTCATACGTTTGTCCAAACCCACAGAATGACACCACCATGAACCCTAAACTATGAACTGTGGATAATGATGTGTGTCAATGCAGGTTTATTAAGTGTAACAAATGCACCACTCTGGTGGGAAATGTCGCTAATGTGGAGGGGAAGCTATGCCTGTCTGGGGTCAGGGTTCAGAAGAGAAATCTCTGTACCTTCTGCTCAATTTTGCCGTGAACCTGAAAGTGCTCTCAAACATAAAATCTACTAAAAAAAATTGGTAACACACACACATTTGCTACTAAGACGGGCTCCAACAAATGTGAAAATTTAAGAAATCTACCTCTTTATTTAACACCAAAGCTAACATCAAGTGTTTATTTAAAAAAATAATGGCACCTGCTTTGAATTCATTGATGACACCACAATGGGGCGAAAATCTACAGGGAATTCACAATTTTAGGCTGACGTGAAACTAAGCAGTAACTCACAAAATGGAAATTCTGCAACAAGCCTCACAATAAACATTTCCAGTTTCTACTTTCAGAGTTGCTAACCACTGCCTAAACGTATCTTAAACACAGAGCACGTTTTGTTGAAATATTTCTCTTAGGACAAACACAGTAGACATGCTTTAAATAAATTAAAATTGCAACACATAAATCATTCCTAAAACAATCAAGGTGCATTACTTTCCAGCTTCTTATAAATAGAATTGTACTGATTTCAGGAAACTATAGGTTCTGCTTCATATCTTGTTTTTAACATCTTATCTAGTTTTGATGTGAATAAGCCAATTTCATTCTTTGCAGTGATTTATCTTCTTAAACCAACTCGTTCCTTTGTGCATATGCTAACTTTAAAACACCTCTTCACATAAGCCCTGAATTTTAAGTGATGCCATTTCTTCCTACCCCCAGCCCACTCCTCAGAATTACAGAAACATGTAAAATAGGTTGTTTAATCACACATGTTCACATGAATAAATATATTTAAATGTTTTTCCAAACCAATACAACAATATCTGGATTCACTGCAAAAACGTTCCCATTCAATGCAAAATAATTTGGCACAATCCGACCAAAAAAGACAAAAGTAATTAGTTGCCTGAGAGAAGCTAGTTCCTCATTATTACTGAGCCCATAATTAAACCTGATATGCTAGAGAAATGGCAAGGCAATAAACACACAGAGTGGGGCAATATTTAAATGAAAACAAGAGTGACAGAGCTAGAAAGAGCGAAAACCACATGAATGCTAATTGACAGAGAAGGATAACAGCCTCCACGGCTGAAATGAAAGACGGAGTTTCAGATTTCCTTCTGTGAATAGCTGACAAGGATCACGCAGGCAAAGAGGCTACTGTTCCAAGCTAGAAACTTGGGACTAATCCCACATTCATTGTCCAAACCCAGCAACGAAGTGCTTTTTTGCTGTTTCACTATAGGTTTCCATTTTTGGTTTTTTTTTTTTTTGGCGGTAGGCGAGGGAGGGTGTTCCGGTTTAATCATATTCAAAGTTTGAACTTGAAATAACCAACTCAAGACCCACAGGACAGTATGTCACCAGATAAACGCAGTGCTAGAATCCAATGTCCAGCATCGACACTTAGGAATGTTTGCTGAGCCACCAGGCGGTGTTTACCCACCCAACGGGCACTTTCATCTTGGGCTTGGCCCAAGATGTTTACCATAAATGAAAGGTGTAGAGAAAGGATTATAGTTGACACAAACATAAATTAAATATCCAATTCCAGCATATGTTATAGCTACACATCACTATTTTTAATTGTAATATTTCTAAAATGTCATTTAATCTCCTTACGCATTAAAGAGAACAGTGGGGGTGTTTATTCCTTAAGAGAGAATAAACTGCAGAGATTAAGTTTCTTTCGAGTGTATCATCTTATTAAAAAGCACAAAGTTTCATGAACTTTCAACAAGACTGCGAAATAAATATGCCAGGTAGGTTGAGCCTATCGAAGTGAAAACAAGGTTATTTGACATTTAGTGAAAGTCAATGAAAATATGAACTCTTTAAAAGGAATTCATGATCCAGGTAGGAGGATTTAGACCCTACAGTATGTTAGAATAAAGCTAGTTTCTAGCAGGTTCTGTTAACAGCTCCAGACTAGAGGGGACAGACTGTGCTACTTTTCATTCTCTTCTCTACTTCTGTCACTGGGGAGAAGATACACGGATCACAGGTCTGAGAAGTGTGCATTAAAGCACATTTGCTAGGCTGAGCACTGGAATGGTGTGGGCTAGTGTGAGAATGAGGCCTACATCTTCTTGGACCATCCCAGAGCCCTTCACCTAAGGGTTAGAAATCTCTCATTCTCTAAACTAACAGCAGCACTCAATCCCTGGTCTGTCCAAAGTGGTGCTTGGAAAGATTCACAGATACCAAGAGGGACCCACCCAGGCCCCAGGTTGATTTAGGAGTGTAAGTTACACTCAGCTCTCAGCCCACGCTCAGTCTGATGCCCACAGGTAAAGGGTAATGCTGGCCATGGAAATACAAAAGCTGAAGGAAGCACAACATTCTCTCTGCCTCCCTGCCTTGCACCTGGCCTCCTTATCTGTCCCCTGGACTTGAACGATCAGTATATACACATCAACGTGGGAGACCAGGGGGAGTCTGACAATGAAAGGAGAGACAGTCATGAGATCGGAGTGGGACTGGTAATTCCCTCTTCTCTGAATCCAAAATACTTTATCACCAAAGATTTCATGAAATGACATTTATTGTTTAAAAAAGCATGAATCTGGAATTAGATAGTGGTGATGGTTGAACAAGTTTGTGAATTTACTGAAACCACTGAATTGCACACTTAAAAAAAAAAAGCAAGCTTGAGCTGCATAAGTCCAACTCATACACACTGGACTCTGTACTAAGTGCTCAACTATTCCATTCTCTCAGACTATGGCACATTCTGTCACATTTTTTTCCTTCAGGAGATTTCCCTAAGAAGAGCTGTTTGCAAAATATTGCACTTAATTTGAATCCAGGAGACCTGATATCTTCTGGAAGAAAATGTGCACTCAAGTGGTGGGACAAGGGGCTCAACAGCAGTTTCCATGAACATTGTTTACATCTTCCTCTTTGTGATATACACAGAGACACAGATTTAAAGGAAAGTATCATCTAGGCTGAAGGTGGTGAACGGTATCCCCCAAACAGGGATGTGAACTTTTGAATGCTTTCAGCGCAGAGGCAGTGTGGCCATCCTAGTACCTCAGGACTTACGTTCAGTGAGATGTTAAGAGACAGGGGTCAACCTTGGCTCAAACACTGGACTTATTTATTTTATTCTTGCTAGCCTTTCACATCTTGAAAAGGACACTCAATCTTCATCCAGGTAAATTGCCCCCACTAATCTAGCTGCCACTCAGTCACACCCCATGTCCTCGTTTCCTCATGCTTTCAGTGTTCTGACACCTCAGTCCACTTTAACTTTAGAGGCTATGATTCCGTCGTCCTTCAAGGAAAAAACTGCAACATGACCATCATTTGTTTTCATTTCCTGAGTAAGCTTTGCAGTCCCTCACAGACCTGTGAATAAAATGAATCACATAAAGTGAATCATATCCTCCAGGGGGGCTTATCACAATCAAGATTTGCCAAAAAACAGCCAGGCATGGTGGCTTGTGCCTGCAGTCCTGGCTGCTCAGGAGGTTGAGGTGGGAGGATCCCTTGAGGCAAGGAGTTTGCGACCAGCCTGGGCAATATTTAGCAGAACACTGTCTCAAAACAACAAAACAAAACAAAAAAAAGATTTGCCAAAACACAAACCTCCAGAGTAGTGCTCACGGGATTCCAAATTAATGTTAAAGTCACAGTCTGATGAGGGATCTGAAAACATTCCTGCACACTCTGAAGGCTGGCCATTTGCTAGCCAGTTCAGATAAAATCAGGTGTCTGTTTCCTGCGTATGAGAAAGGGAAAGCTCCATTCATAAATCCCTATGTCTTACCATTTAAAGTGTAACAAAACCCCTCAGGTAGACTTGTTGGATAACAGGTGTGTGATAAGATTTCCATCTTACAGGGTCACAAACGCCTGACCGCTGTGGACACTGAGTACATGACGGGACCTATGGTTGCCTGGAGACAAGCAGGGTGGATCACACGGGGACCAAAGGCCACAGTGTTTAACACTGCCCAAGCCTGTGGTTCTTCATTCCCTGAATCATGCATATCCTTGCTTTTTATAGGACTCACAGAAAACAACCATTAGCAATTGTGAAGCTCCATTCTGACAGAGACTTAGGAGACAGACCTTTCTTCTGGATCACCAATTACGCCAAGGTCTCGATATACAGAGGTTTACCACGCTGGGCTAGTCAGGTGGGCAGGAAATCGGTCTGATTAAGGCAGTGAGCAAGGTAGGAGAGCTCTGAAATAGATTCGTGTTAACAAAGTACAAGGACTGAGTTGGCAACTGCTACCGAGTTAAGAGAATTGTAGTTATTTACACCACACAGCCCTAGTTTTTCTTGCACACGAGTCCGCACAATCATTCATTGTAAAATTTGGTAGTATGCACAGAGTTTTCTTTAAAATAAAAACTTGAAAGAACATGAAGGCAGGAACCAGCGGCTTCATCTTGGTATTATTATCCTTTCTATGGCACACAGGATATGGTCCCAGTTTTTACAAAATATAGCAAGAAGAGTCACGGCAAAGAAGGTGCCAAGAATGTGGCAGCGGCTCTTCATCATGGGCGAGACGAACTTCGCGATGGTGGACACACACACTAAGATGACAGTCATGAAGGCCAGGATCACGTTGATGCACTTCCCCAGGAGAACTTTAGCATTCACGGTGTCTGTCTGCAGAGCTTGCTGCTCTTGCTGGTGGAGCTCCAGCTTAGAAATGCGAGTCTGGCAGGATTCCAAGGCTTCCTGTGGGCAAGAGGGACAGCAAGGGTCAAACGGTGTTGGGATCGTGAGCAACATGCGAGTGCTCGCTCAGCTGTACACAAAAGCCCCGGCTCCGAAAGCCCAATGCCCAGGCAGCTGCGAATCCCCAAACTGCTGATGAGGGTGACAGACAAAGATGTGGAACAAGAATGCCAGGCTCACTTTTTCCTCTTGCTCACGAGTAGAAGAGCATGTGGACACAACCACAAAATGCCACAAATGAGGAAGTATGGCTAAGTTTTTTGACTTTACTTTTTTTTTTTTTTTTGAGACGTAGTTACCTTGCTCTGTTGCCAGGCTGGAGTGCAGTGGCGCGATCTCAGCTCACTGCAACCTCCGTCTCCTGGGTTCAGGTGACTCTCCTGCCTCAGCCTCCTGAGTTGGGACTACAGGCACACACCGCCATGTCTGGCTAATTTTTCTATTTTTAGTAGAGACGGGGTTTCGCCATATTGGCAAGGATGGTCTTGATTTCCTGACCTTGTGATCTGCCCGCCTCGTCCTCCCAGAATGCTAGGATTATAGGTGTGAGCCACCATGCCCAGCCTACTTTATCTTTTTTTTTTTTTTGAGACAGAGTTTCACTCTGTTACCCAGGCTGGAGTGCAGTGGCGTGATCTCAGCTCACTGCAACCTCTGCCTTCTGGGTTTAAGCTATTCTCCTGCCTCAGCCTCCTGAGTAGCTGGGATTACAGGTGCACGTTCCCACACCTAATTTTTGTATTTTCAGTAGAGACAGTGTTTTACCATGTTGGCCAGGCTGGTCTCAAACTCCTGACCTCAAGTGATCTGCCTGCCATGGCCTCCCACAGTGCTGGAATTACAGGCGTGAGCCACCGTGCTCAGCCTGACTTTCCCTATTTTTGAAATAAAGTGATATAAAATATTGGTGCCTGTTGGTGCCATCAGGGACAAAGCAGAGAAGGAGGGAGGTTCCACTCTGTGACTACTCCACCTTCAGCCAAGGAGTGTGTGGGATCTCCAATGGCCAGTCCTTATTTCCACTGCTCAAAGATTTTGTCCATCGGTTAGAGATTGGCAGAGGAAGGCGAGAGAAGGGAGGGGCAGGGACTGGGGCTGACTGCGGGGCAACTGTGCTTTTGCCTGCTCTCTGAACAAGGTGTTACTTAGGACACCATCCGAGGCTATCTCCCTGGATCTCATCCATGCCAACTCTTCAATTACTAAGACACAAGATGACTACAACTGACCTAATCTCTAGGCCAGTTCTCTCTTCTGAGATTGACTCACAGATCTCCGTGCCTCTTTGACATCTCCATCAGAGCTTCTTGAAAGCACCTCAAATGCAACACATGCAAATGTGACTTCATGTATTGCAGCTACCCAACACCTGCAGTCAACCCTGTTCCCTTCCAGTGTCCTTCTCAGAGCAGAGCACCATGATCCATCCAGTTCCTCATACCAGAAGCCTAATGTGCATATCCTGACACCCTTCTCATCCAACCCGCCACCCAGCCACAGAGGCAACATCCAGTTTCTAGCTCAATTGGTCCGGTTCTCTCCACCTGGTCAGCACCCCAATCTAAGTCACTGGGATTTCTTGCCTGCAATAACCTTACACAAATTTCCCTAGATATCCTTTCATTCCCCACCCTCACGAATCCATTTTCCACAGAGCCGCCCAAGTGGTCTTTTAAGGATACATACTTGATCACTCCTTTTCATAAAACCTTTCCAATCTTTAATATGGCCTTCTGAGGCCTTCCAAGGCCCAGGTTTAGCTCCCTCTCCTCCCTCAATGACTTCATGCCAGCCCCTTGCCCTGTCATAGTGCTCTGGCCTTTTCCAAGTTCTTTTTTTCTTTGAAGAGACAGGGTCTCACTCTGTTGCCCAGGCTAGGGTGCAATGGCACAGTCAGAGCTCATTTCAACCTCACCCTCTGGTCTCCTGCCTCAGCCTCCTGAATGACTGGAATTACAAGTGCGAGCCACCATGCCCAGCTTTATTCTAAGTTCTGAAAAGGAGCATAGACTCACCTCAGGGCTTCTGTACATTCAGTACACTCTGCCTGAGATGTGTGCATCCCCCACTCCGTCCCTTCTTCACCCGTGGATCTCCCACTCATTTTTTAGGTCTTGCCTTGATTGCCACACCCTTGGGGAAGCCTTTCCTGATCCATGAGATGAGGTCAAGTCTCCCTTCAGCTCTCCTTCCCAACCATGAGACATATGCTGCCTGAGGACAGGAACTAGCGCATCTCGCATTTGCTGTCCTCTCCAGCACAGAGCCAGAGCCAGGCATGCAGCACGTGCCACACACTGGCTGAATATGAAAGAGACAGCTAGGTGCCAGTAAGAAAATGTGAGGCTTGACAGGTACAGTGGGGCATGCCTGTAATCCCAGCGCTTTGGGAGGCCGAGGTGGGTGGATCACTTGAGGTCAGGAGTTCAAGACCAGCCTGGCCAATATGGTGAAATCCCATCTTTACTAAGAAAATATAAAAATCAGCTGGGCATGGTGGCACGCACCTGTAATCCCAGCCACTCAGGAGGTTGAGGCAGGAGAATCGCTTCAACCTAGGAGGCAGATGTTGCAATGAGCCAAGATTGTGCCACTACACTCCAGCCTGGGCGACAGAGAGAGAAGGTTTAAAAAAAAAAAAAAAAAAAAAGAAAAGAAAAAAGTGAGGCTTGAGAGAGAAACCTCCAAGCCTGCTGGGTGAAAAGGATCTAACTAGAGGTAGTACAATATGCCCCTCTCTGTTCTAACTCATGTGCCAATCTGTGTTTGCTCAATTAAAATACAGTCATCTTTTCAGGTTTTAAACAAGCATAATGGCTCCAAGATTGATTTGCTTTTCTTCTGCTGAATAACTCTATGGGCCAAAGAACAGGTTCTCTGTTACTATAGTAACTTCTATTATACTAGGCTACCAACGAAAAGGATAAAACTTCTTCAGATCTTCACATTCTAGAAAGTGCTGGCTTTCAACAGTAACAGGCATGTACCAGAAATCACGCGTTCTTTTCAACCACTTGGGTCCAAGGTTTCCTCCATTTTAGGCGTAGCACAGAAAAGGGGATGGAACAAGACAAAGGACCAACCTTTTAGGAAAATCCATGAATCTTTGATTATAAGATGAATTACATGTACAAGTAGACCGATCTCAGGACTGTCTTACAACTGCTGTCAAATTTTTTTAACGAGAAGAAAAATCCAAGAAAATTAAGCAGTGAATTGCAAGGAATTTGAGTCACAGCAGCCCGAGTATTCAGCTCCACAATTTTTGGTACTTCCTTGGGTCCAGTCATTAACTTATTGGGGATGATGACCAGAAAAAGGGATTATCTTGAAACGTTTTTAATAGGGAATTCAGGGTTTAAAAAACCACTCAGTTGTTTAAAACGACAAAACCCTTGCATCCCTGCAGGCAACAGCCTCTCTGTCTCTGGTAGCCCATTCCCTTTGTGCAACCCTGTCTGTAAGAACAAAACAGATAAGAAATAAAGATGAAGTCAAAAGGCTCAACTGCTAGAAGCCCTGAGGAATGTGGCTACTCCCAGATGTAATAAAAGGAATGGCCAGTATTTATTTTTTGACTGTTTACTATGTGCCAGGCAAAGATTTCAAGACCTTACATGATTATCCCATTTAATCTTCTTGACAACCTTTTGAGGTAGAGCTCATTAATATTTCCATTTTATTGAGGAGGAAACTGAGGCACAGAGCACTAACTCATCCAGGGTCACACAGCATAGGTGAGGAGGGCTAGGATTCTAGCCATCATGACAGGGAAGACGCTCCAGTCATTCACACAGATGTCCTTTGTGCACTTTTGAGTGAGAGATAAAACCAGAAAATGTCAAAATGTACCTCTCTGGATTTTTAAGTTCCCTTTATGTGATCCCTCCCCACTTTATCTGTTGTCCTTCACCACTAAAATATGTTTGTTAAAACACAGAAGAACAATATTAACCCAAACTATCCCCTAAATAAGAAAACCATGCATTCATATACCACCCAGTGACACTCGAAACATGCTCTAAAATAGAACGACTTCGTGAAGCAATTGTACTGTTCACATGGCAACATTTTTGTTTGTTTTTTGGAGACAAGGCCTTGCTCTGTCGCCCAGACTGGAGAGCAGTGGTGCGATCATAGCTCACTGTAACCACAAACTCCTCCCTCCTCAGCCTCTCAAGTAGCTAAGGTTATAGGCACGCCACCCTGTCCAGCTATAATAATTAAAAAAATTTTTTTTTCTAATTATGTTGGCCAGGGTGGTCTCGAACTCCTGGCTTCAAATGATCCTTCTACCTCAGCCTCCCAAAGTGCTGCGATTACAGGCATGAGCCACTGCACCCCGCCCACTTGGCAACATTTAACATTTAAATGGTTCAAGTTTCTTGAATTAGCCAGTGGTGAAGCGAACTCGCCTAATCTAGAACAGGGCCAGAAACCTCCCAAGTGTGTCTTTTGAGATGTGGTCTCTGGGGGCAGAATTTCCCATCAGCTCCAATGTGTTGGTTCCCAGAATTGTCCAAGTAGGCATCTGGGATTAGCACAGGCTCAGCCCTCAGCAGAGTGGAATGAAATGTGGCCAGTTGAAACTCCAGCTCACACACTGCAGGAGAAAGTGCTATCTTTATGTTTAATTTTCTCCCTTGTAAAGTGGGGCTTGGACTCACAGCCTTCAGCCTTCCTAGAGCTGGAGAAAATGACTACTGTCCACAGAGAAAATCCATAAAAATGAAGCTGGGCGTTGCTTGAAGAGTACTTTTTTAAGAGACACAGGGCCTTACTCTGTCACCCCCCAGGCTGGAGTGCTTTGGCACAATCACTATAACCTTGAACTCCTGGACTCAAGCCATCCTCCCACCTTGGACTCCTGAGTAGCTGGGACTACAGGTACACACTGCCACACCCAGCTAATTTTAAAAAGTTGTTTTTAGAGATCGAGGGGGTCTCACTATGTTGCCCAGGCTGGTCTCGAACTCCTGGCCTCAAGTGATCCTCCTGCCTCAACCTACCAAAGTGCCAGGATTATAGGTGTGAGCCACCAGCCCTGGGCAATTTTTTTTTTAAGGCAATCAAGGAACTTGGGGTTGTTTCACTACGTGCTAGGATCACATTAGGAAATACTGGAGCACGACTTTGTTTATATTGATCCCATTATCCTTTCCTTCCATCCACCCAGATCCTACCCACTGCTTCCAGTCCCGCCTTCTCCAGGACATTCAATTACATTCCTTCCTTAAGGATGATTTGCAAGACCTTGTTTAAGCCCCTTAACCTTGCTGTGCCTCGGTCTCCATATCTGAGAAGTGGGGATAATAACAGAAACTACCTTAAAGGGTTGCTGAGAAGTAAATGGGAAAAACAGAAACCTTTGAAGTGCCTTGCTAGTATTGATCACACAGTATGCACTGAAGTGCTTTAATTTCTTACAAATACCAATGTTACTATTATTATTTTATTTATTTATTTTTTGAGACAGACTCTCGCTCTGTCGTCCAGGCTGGAGTGCTGTGGTGCAATCTCAGCTCATTGCAACCTCTGCCTCCTGGATTCAAGCGATTCTCCTGCCTTAGCCTCCCGAGTAGCTGGGACTACAGGCGCGTGCCACCACGCCCGGCTAAATTTTTGTATTTTTAGTAGAGATGGGGTTTCACCGTGTTAGCCAGGATGGTCTCGATCTCCTGACCTCGTGACCCACCCGCCTTGGCTTCCCAAAGTGCTGTGATTACAGGTGTGAGCCACCGCGCCCGGCCATGTGAATGCTATTATTTTACAGATGACTGAATAGGCTCAAGTCTTACTCAGGGCCACAAAACTGATACGGTAGACGTCGGACTGAACGTGGAAATGTTTTGCCACTAAATGACTGATTGCTCCCACAGTCCACAGCTTGCTGGGCACCATATGGCTAAATGTCTGTGGCTCACAGAGTCCGTGTCATGGAACTTGGACCATGTGTGTGCTGTCTTGAGTTCTTTGGCAGCTGCGCTATCCCACACTCTCCACCTAGGCAGTGAGCTTCTTGAAGCCAGACTTTGTCTCCTACTTTTACATTTTACAGTTTTGGTGGTGATGGGCTTGGGGTGGATAATAAATACTTGTTAATTGATTTAGACAGAAAGTGTAAAGAATATGGTCTCTTAGCCAGGCTCAGTGGCTCACACCTGTAATCCCAGCACTTTGGGAGGCTGAGGTGGGTGGATCACTTGCAGTCAGGAGTTTGAGACCAGCCTGGTCAACATGGTGAAACCTCATCTCTACTAAAAATACAAAAAAATTAGCCGGGTGTGGTAGCGTGTGCCTCTAGTCCCAGCTACTCAGGAGGCTGAGGCAGGAGAATCGCTTGAACCCAGGAGGCAGAGGTTGCAATGAGCCGAGATCACCCACTGCACTCCAGCCTGGGCAACAGAGCGAGACTCACCTCAAAAAAGAAAAAGAAAAAGAAAAAAAAGAATATTGTGTTTTTACTTACTAATGTCTACAACATGAACTAGTGGGGTTAACGTGGCGCAGACAAAATGTTTGTGCAGAGAAAACATTTTGTCCCAGGTGCCAGAAACCCTCTAGGACTTTGGCATAAACATTTAGATTGGTAAATGAATTAAGGCCAGGGAAGAGCCCAGGCCTGTGTCTAATCACAAAGAGAAGGGTACCTGGATGTCCCGTGAGCGCTCGTAGGCCTGGTAGGCCACCTTCTCCTCAATGCTGGCCAGCTCCTGCTTCAGGTTGGCCGTCTCATGCTGATGCAGGTCCGTCAGGTCATGCAGCTGGTCCTCCAGTCGCTCATACCTTTAAAAGAGAGGAGCCGATTCCGAGTGTGACATTTCACAGCACACTGCAAGACGATGTCCTTTCCATTTTCCTGGGCCACTACCTTTTGGCTTGCTCTCATCCCCTGATGGGCTGTTTTTCTAAAAGAGTAAGGCTAAGCTGTGGGAAATGAGCTTTTGCATAACACTGAGTCCCAGCTCTGGAAAGATCCAGTCTCTGGGGTCTTGACTCTCCGTCCTTGCCACTGACGGTGCACAAGGGTCAGACTAGCACCTTAGCTAGCTGCAGTGACCTCAAGATAGAGCTCATCAGCTGATGCATTTGCCAGGGTCAGGCAGGAGATAGGGCTCTGTGGGATCCTGCTAATGGAGGGCCAGGACCTCTGGTGTCTGTGGTGCCTTCTCCCTCTTCTGCTCTGACACTGTTGCTGTGGTTCATGGCCAGAGAATCCACAGGGAAAGCACCATGCTTTTAGTATCACCTTCTACTCTGGAGTCAACTCTATTATTTCCCAGCACGCAAACACACACTGATTATGGATTTCAGCTCTTGGAACCTAAGTGACAATACAAAATTAAGCTTATTACGAATTATAGATGGCTTACCACACGGTGTTTCAAAATGTCCAAATCTAGGCCGGGTGCGGTGGCTCAAGCCTCTAATCCCAGCACTTTGGGAGGCTGAGGCGAGCAGATCACGAGGTCAGGAGATCAAGGCCATCCTGGCTAACATGGTGAAACCCCACCTCTACTAAAAACACAAAAAACTTAGCCGGGCGTGGTGGTGGGCACCTGTAGTCCCAGCTACTCAGGAGGCTGAGGCAGGAGAATGGCATAAACCCGGGAGACGGAGCAGTGAGCCGAGATCGCGCCACTGCACTCCAGCCTGGGCGACAGAGCAAGACTCCGTCTCAAACAAACAAACAAACAAACAAACAAAAAGTACAAATCTAAAGGAACAGAAGTACAAAGATTCTCATTCCTGTGCCCTGCCCCTTTCACTGAAGATGATTTTTCTCATATTTGAAACCTCAGCCGGGTGCAGTGACTCATGCCTGTAATCCTAACACTTTGTGAGGCCAAGGCAAGTGGATCACCTGAGGTCAGGAGTTGGAGATCAGTCTGGCCAACATGGTGAAACCTCATCTCTACTAAAAATATACAAATTAGCTGGGTATGGTGGCGGGCGCCTGTAATCCCAGCCACTTGGGAGACTGAGGCAGGAGAATTGCTTGAAACCGGAAAGCAGAGGTTGCAGTGAACCAAGACTGCACCACTGCACTCCAGCCTGGGAAAATGAGTGAAAACTCCATCTCAAACCCCTCTGCCCCTCAACAACAACAACAAAACATTACATAAGGACTTCAAGATTGATGTACTAAATAAAATTAACTTTGTTGGGTAATGCATAAGTGTTTTTTACTTGATAGTTGTTATAGAGGGAAATCAAATACAGAACTCTGAATTAGTGTAATGACACTATAACGGAAGTCTACTGAATCAGAATCTTAAGATGCATGTGAGTCATTGCCTGTATCTGATAATTTAAGGGACCCACACATAAATCCTTCTCTAAATTGTCAGCTAAAGGCCACAAATTATAAAACTTAGAATCATGAAAGATGGAATTGTTGGGTATCCCTTATCTGAAATGCTTGGGACCAGAAGTGTTTCAGATTTTGATTTTTATCAGATTTTGGAATATTTGCATATACATAAGCAGATACCTCAAAAATGGGACCCAAGTCTAAAGACGCTATTCATTTGTTTCCTATGCACCATGAACACACAGCCTGAAGGTAAAATGTACTGTATTTTAAATAATTTTGTGCCTCAAGTTTGTGTTTTTATTTGTGGAATTTTCTAGTTGTGGCACTGTATTGACACTCCAAAAGTTTCAGATTTTGGAACATTCTGGATTTCAGATTTTCGGAAGAGGGATGTATCAATACATTAGGGATGTACTGATTGCTAAATGCCTTTTAATCCATATCCATATTTGTTGAAAATACAACCATAAGGCATTCTCATTTCAAGCAGATAATCTCTCTGTAGTAACTCATCCTTCTAAAAAGAATGCTACACCTATCACGTACCCACTAAAATTAAAAGTTAAAAAACATGCCAGTGGAATACTTTGAAATACCTGTATCTTTCCTCTTGCAGGGTCTGGGAAATAAAACCATATTCTCTCTTAAACTGCACCTTCAGCGCCTCGATGTCCTCAGCCAGTTGAGCTTGGGTATCCTTGATCTCCCTCAGTTCCTCCAGGATCACGGCGAGCTTCCCCTGGCTGTCCAGCGTGCTGGCTCCACCAGCCCCGAACGACTGGTTTCCGTTACTGTCGGCCGAGCCTGACGTGCCACTCGAACATTCATCATCACTGCCATACTTGGGTTTGTTCACGATGGTAGCGCTGCCGCCGTAGGCCCTGGCACTCGCCTCTGGCCTAAACTCCTCTAAGGAATTTTTCAAGTGAGCAATGTTGTCGGCGCTGCCAAACTTATTCCGGATCAGGTTGGCAAACTCTCTGGATTTATTGAAAACAAACACAGGTGGAGTAAGCGAGACCCCTGGCATGCCCGATTTGCTGCTCTCCATGCAATGGGGAGCAGTTCGAGATTTCACGTGGGCATCTTTCAAAGAGCGATGTATATCCTTCAGGTGGTCTTTGGAAATGTCCTTGGAGCTCCTGGAGGCTCCATTCTGCTCGATCTCTCTGAGCTTTCGATGATACTGCTCTAACTTCTTCTGCAGCTGGGCGATGGAGTGAGCTGATTTCTGATTCTTCTTCTCAAAGACTTGCTTGATACGTCCCGCCTGCTGCTTGTCCGCGCTGTTCACTAGTTTCAGATACTCCGCAACGTTCCCATCGCGCGATGTTTGCTCAATTTTTATCTGCTCTGTTACCTTTAGAATTTTTTGCTTCAGGCTGTCTGCAGTGAGTTTGACCTTGTGGAAGTCCAGGACGCCATCTGGTACATCAAAGTTGAGGTTGGTGTCTGACCCCCCTCGGCGTATGTTCAGGGGCAGGCTTAAGGTATTCATGTCATGACGTTCTACCTGAAAGAGACAGGAAAGAAGCACATGAAAATTTGAAGTCAAAGAGATAATTACTGTGATAGAATCTGTGCACATACAAGATACATATATTAAGTCCCAGATTTTCGAACTACAAGTGTCACAGGATAAAGCAACCGTGCTGTTCCCTCCAGTTGAACATAGGGGCGGCCTGGCTCCTTCCTGCATCCATCTACACTAAGTAGCTGTGAGATTTGGATCTTCCAGGGTATCCACTTTTTTGTGTGATGAGACAGTAACCTGGCTCCCAGGGTAGAAAATGCAAAATAGAATGAGGTCACCAGTCAGTCCTGGTTTCCCAAAGTGCCCAGGTAACTGGGATGCCTGCCACGCCCCATTCACTGGGAACTTCACCACTATGGGGAACACATCTAACTCAGAACTCACTCACTTAATAGAAGCAGAATCTTTAAAAAAAAAAAAAAAAAGATGGGGAAAAATAGGAAAAAATATACGAGCAGGTACATCCATCAAACAAGAATATTATTTTCTTAACGGAATCATTAAATAGATATGATAGAATAATAGGGTATAAGATTAACTTTAATAACTGGGTAATACAACAGTATTTATATATGGAAACAACCCCAAACCACACCACAGTGATATTAAAAAGAAAAAAAAAAGGGGGCGGGGTGCTGGCTAAAGTGGCTCACACTTGTAATCCCAGCACTTTGGGAGGCCCAGACAGGTGGATCACCTGAGGTCAGGAGTTTGAGACCAGCCTGGCTCACACAGTGAAACTCCATCTCTACTAAAAATACAAAATTAGTCGGGCGTGGTAGCAGGCACCTGTGAGCCTAGCTACTCGGGAGGCTGAGGCAGGAAAATCACTTGAACCTGGAAGGTGGAGGTTGCAGTGAGCCGATATCACACCAGTGTACTCTATCTAGACTGGGCAAGAGAGTGAGACTCTGTCTCAAAAAAATAATAATAAAATAATGATAAAACTCAGACCACATAAAACAGCTTTCTCATTCAAGGGCCATTTAGGGAAAAGAACTGCAAGGCAGTGTTGAGTTTCCCAGTGAAGCGGGTGGCAAGTTTGTGCTCTAAAAGGAAAAGGCAGAAGCAGATCATATGCCAGGGTCCATGGATGTCTCTCATGGCTTGTCTCGCTTCATTACCATGCCAGACAAAGAACATGCTAGATTCATAAACATGTAGAAACCGAGGGGTAAGGCCAGGATTTGAATCCAAGTCATCCTAACTGTAATCCTCTTTCCATGTCAGGTCACTCCATTGTTGATATCCCCAGAGGATGAAAAACAGCTCTTTGTAGAGTTCAAACACAACCTACAAGCAATTCTTAAGATCCAAACTGAAGCATCTCATTTGTCAATATCCCTTTGATTAGAATAATGACTTGATATACAGTCTTAATAGAAATCAAATGAGAAGCAAGACAATATTCAGTATGTTACCTTATTTTAAGGAATTAGTGGGCTGATAGCAAAAAAATTAGTAAAAAATTAATGAATTTCACACTCAGTGATACGATTTGGATCTGTGTCCCTATCCAAATCTCATGTTCAACTGTTCCAATCCCCAGTGTTGGAGGTGGGGCCTGGTGGGAGGTGATTGAATCATGGGGACGGATTTCTTATGAATGGTTTAGCATCATCCCTCTGCTGCTGTTCTCATGGTAGTCAATCCTCGTGAGATCTGGTTGTTTAAAAGTGTGTAGCACCTCCCCTCTCTTGCCCGCATCCTCCTGCTTTCGCCATGGGAAGTGCCTGCTCCTGCTCTGCCTTCCACCATGAGTAAAAGCTCCCTGCAGCGTCCCCAGGACCAGATGAAGCCATGCTTCCTGTACAGCCTGCAGAACCGTGAGCCAATTAAACCTCTTTTCTTATAAAGTATCAGGACTCGGGTATTTCTTTATAGCAATGTGAGAACAGACTCGAATATGGACCATATCCAGCAACGGGTATTAACACTTCACCACATAATAAATCCTGCCCAGTGCTTTTTTCCAGAGGAGGGAGCACAGCAGCACAGTGGGACACCATCCCAGATGGGCGGGTCAGGCTTCCTCCACAACTTACATTCGTTAGCATTAGCTCTTAGCCCCTCTTTTCCAATGCACGATGTTGTCATTAATTACAGACACTGGTTACTTTATCTGGCAGAGAAGCACCATATAGGAAAAGCTGGAAGGAAGCAAATGCCCAATCGCTACAAGACTGGAAAACAGGATATATGAAAAAAGGATAAAAAAGTTGTGACTTCACTTGGTCAAGAGGGAAGGATGGGGATAGGGAATAAAGAAGGTATACAATACTCTTTAAATCCTAGAGGGTCGACCACAGGAAGCTCAAGGAATCTATGTACCTGTGGCTCATTAGTGGACCCAAACAGGAACAGGTTCAAATTATAGCAACAGAGAATGCATGAAACTTAGAAAATGTTTATTTTGGGCAGATAGGTAATTAATGGTAACTGTACAATCACTGAGGCTAGAAATTTGATTTTACTGGAGATATTATATCTGATCATGCTACTCTATGTCTTAGAAACTTCCTTTGGCTTTCTAATGGCTACTAAATGAAATAATATAACCTGGCATATGATTCCATTTAGCAGGCATTAGGAAGGGCCTTATGCCCACCTTTCAGGCCTATCTTAAGACTATCTTAAGTGAATCATACAACCTACATTCCCAGAATGTATATGAATTTTCTATGGATTTTCTCATATGCATGATATTCACAATGCCTGCCACCCATTTAGTTATGTTTATCGAAATGCTACATATCCTTTAAAACCTATTTCAAGGGCCAGGCACGGTGGCTCACACCTGTAATTCCAGCACTTTGGGAGGCTGAGGTGGGCGGATCATGAGGTCAGGAGATCGAGACCATTCTGGCTAATATGATGAAACCCTGTCTCTACTAAAAATACAAAAAAATTAGCCAGGCGTGGTGGCACGCGCCTGTAGTCCCAGCTACCCGGGAGGCTGAGGCAGGAGAATCAGTTGAACTCAAGAGGTGGAGGTTGCAGTGAGCCAAGATGGCGCCTTTGCACTCCAGCCTGGGTGACAGAGTGAGACAGCGTCTCAAACAAACAAACAAACAAACAAACAAACCCATTTCAAATGCCCCTTCTGCCATGAAGCTTTTCCTAGTTCTGGTGGAACGCCCCCTCCATTCTGTGACACGCCTGTTGCTCTGTGCTTGTCTTGTGGCACTTCCTGACTCCTCCTTTGATCACCACCCATGCACTTTAACCCCCTGCAGACTGCACGCTCCTTTGGGGAGGCATGATGTCATAGCTGTAGCCAACTTGAAGTTCTAGTACTCTCCTAGGAGGCTGTCAGTAAATGGTTGTCTACTGAACCAAAGTGCCATCATTCTTTATTCCAAGGAGTCTACCCTGGAATCATTTAAGACACATTTCCATTGAGCCAAAAAATAACCTCAGAGGTTGTGCTGGCATAGCCCTGACAATTCCAGGTGAAGACGGTTTCCCAATACCTGGATAATAAATCCGGCACCATTTGAAACCGATTCAACTAAACAGAGATTTTTTTCCGAGTATCAATGTGCAACAAGATACACAAATACAAATAAGGTCTTTTAAACTTTAATTGAAGCACAATTTATACTCAGAAAAGAGTACATTAAATAAGTACAAAGTGAAATAAGTACTCGATGAATTTTTGCAAACTGAACACAATGTGTGACCAGCAGCCAGTTAAAGAAATAGAACAGGCCGGGCGTGGTGGCTCACGCCTGTAATCCCAGTACTTTGGGAGGCCAAGGAAGGTGGATCACGAGGTCAGGAGATTGAGACCATTCTGGCTAACACAGTGAAACCCCGTCTCTACTAAAAATACAAAAAATTAGCCAGATGAGGTGGCGGGTGCCTGTAGTCCCAGCTACTCGGGAGGCTGAGACAGGAGAATGGCGTGAACCCGGGAGGCGGAGCTTGCAGTGAGCCTAGATTACCCCACTGCACTCCAGCCTGGGCAACAGAGCGAGACTCTGTCTCAAAAAAAAAAGAAAAGAAATAAAACAGAAGCCTCCCTTGTGTCCTCCTTCAATCACAACGACATCACCTCCACCTCCAGGGGCAACCATGATCCTTACTTCAAACAGCATATATTAGTTTTGCCTGTTGTATACATGTATTCTTATCATTTTTCACTCAGCACTGTTTGTGAGTTTCATAAGAACTTATCTTCGCCCTCCTGGAGCTCACAGATAAGACGAGACTAAGTTATTTAAAATCTGGTTGGCATTCTCTATTGAGAAGTCCACAACAACATCTAGAGGTAGAAAGGTTTTCATCCTTTACCAAACCGAGCAGTAAGTCAACACCTGTTCTTACTCCTTTAATTCTCAGCTGCACCAGGGCTGGTCATCCAACTCTGAGTCTCAAGCAAAGCCTCATGCTCTCACAGACCTCTCGTTACAGGACAGCCTTGCATGCACAGGATATGCACAAATGGCCAAATGACTTTTGACTTACTTTACGATTTAACAATGCTTGGCATGTTCTCAAGAATCCAGGTTGGAGAAAGCAACAGCATTTAAAGCCCCAAATCAATCAATCTTACTGCTTGTCAGCAAATCTCAGTTAAAAATGTTTGATGAGGGTATAAAGTTGGAACTATTACGGGCTGCTCCTTTTGCCCTTTTATAACCCTAGCACTGCATAGGATAATTGAGAGACACCTGTACCCATTGTTGTTAGATGCCTGTAAATTCCCTGAACACAAACTGAAATTACGTGTGAGTGCTAGAAGAAAGCTGTCAGAGTCCTCCACCCTTCGTTTAATCTAGACTTGGCACTGACCCTATATAATACACTACACAGTGCAGCTTGGTTTCAGGGTTAGGACATAGGGAGGACAAAGGTTTCTGATTATCTAGACTCAATGTACACTGTGTGGATCAGGACACTGTGTTCCTGTTTGGGCGCTGATATTTACTAGGTATGTTTTCTTGGGTAAATTGAGTCACCTCTATGGGCT